TTATTTAATTAATGTTTTTTCGATGAGGATAACAATAACCATGATATTGATAATGGCAGAATGATGCTAGAAAAAAAGAATGATGGATTATTTGAGAAAGGGGTGTGTCGATGGTGGAAAAGGGATGGTGGACGAGGGTTCTAAGTAATACTATTGAATTGAAATGTCCCATTGGGAAAGATGAATTGGGGAAGAACTGCCATTTTTTCTTTAAAAAAAATTATGTTCGTATTATGATTTTTCTTTTGTTGACGTGTTCATTTTTTATTGGTTCATAAAAAGATTTTTTTGGCTTCACGCCCCTCTTAATTGTGTATTGCACTTATAATGCCATGTCATCAAAAAATATTAAATAGGCACATGTATTGAAGGGTAGAGGTGTTCAATAGGTACAACCTTTAGTTGAGGTGTCTAAGTGAATTATGCGAACAATTTTAAGGAGCCGTAAATGACTTAAGCCTTTTTTTATCCATAATAAATATAAACATATTAACAAAGAGTGTTAATTTTTTTTTACTGACAGTAGTTAATTGTTATTGGATCTAATGTCGCTATAAGCTTTAGGGAGATTTACAAAGAGTGTTAATATATATTTAGCGTTAATTAAACTATTGTCGATGATTAACTGTTGCTAAAGATCATTTTTTTATAGTGTTAGCTGATAAGAATTGTCACAACTTCATTTATTTAATCCAAATAAAACTTACAAGTTCATCTGTTTCATTTTGTTTGTCTAATTTTTCCCGTTAGTTTTTTTTTTAAATATCTTTTTTTTTAAAATTTGGTATGTCATTATTTAGTTTTCACATGACATATATATGACTAAAAAATTAAGATATATATATATATATATATATATATATATATATATTAATTCTTTTTTAATTTCTTAAGTTTCATATATCGTTAAATTAAGATAAATAAATTAAAATCGAAAAAAACAAAAAACTTTAATTTGTTATTGTGCATTTCTAAATTGTCATGGAGTGAGTGAGTCAGATTGAAGTACTGTGAGTAAATAAATTTGGAAAAGAGTCACGAGAATTTTATACTCTGCCTTTTAACTTAAAACAGTTATAACACGCAAACGCAATTATATGCATGCAACTTTGCTTTTTGTGAATTTTTCCTGTTATTTTGGACAGACCCACGCACCACCTCGCTTTAATTAACTGCACATTCATTGAATCGAAACATATTGTTGATACGATACGTGATCGTAGATAAGAAGTTATGAACGATGAAAATCAGAGTTTAATGATGTAATTTTTTTTTGTATTATTATTATCTTATTTTTTAATTTTATTGGCAATATCTCTTATTTTTTTATTTTGAAATTATTTTAGTATTTGATGGTCACCTTAGTAGCGCGGACTCTTCACTCTCGATGCCGCACCCATATCGAATTCTCCAAAAATACACTACTTTGAAATCGACACGTACCAATTGACATTTTTGAAAAGTCCGAGCAACATAGATGGTCACAACTCACAACCAAGGACAAACCTTTATGGAAAAAGATATCTGGGATAACGTTTGTTTTTTTTTTCTTTAACAATTTAAGGCAAAAATCAAGTGTCAATTTTAAATAAAAAAAAAGAATTATGTTTCTTTTGAGATCGATTGTAGATTGGATTGTTAGATACGGAATTCTCGTAATAGGCTGGATCAAGATCCAGACGAGGCCCGAGAGAGGGCAGCCAAAAAGATAAAATATAAGTTTGGATATTTGCATGCATGACATTATTCGTTATATTTCTTTGTGATAGTACTTATGGACTTGCAGATATATTGTATCATGAATAGTGGTATGTACTTTTGTTTGCTATTATTATTAAAGAGATTTACTCATCATTTATCAACTAATTAAATAAATTCGAATTATGATTTATGATCACGAGAAAAATATAATTTTCTGTTTTGTTACCATGTCCTAGTCACACTAGCAAAAAGTTAGAATTACAAGTCGTACTTATTTAATAGGGTATAGCTAATTAAAATGATTTAGGTAATCAATTATTGGATTCTGTTGACGTACAGTGTTAGAGCTATTTCCTTTTAACTGTTTCAACCACTAAATTTGTCAAATTAATGTACACCATATGCTTTACAAAACATGTAACCCTACCAAAAAATAAACATAAGAAATTACAAAACACAGTACGACTTAACAAATTGTGTTTTAAACGCATTGTTCACAAACGTATAATATTTAAATCTTAATTTTGAATAGTCATCTTTGTCACAAAACAAATAATTAGTTGGGCGGATTGAGTCAAATTTGAGCGGATCATAATGAGTTAAGACAATAATCAGATCAAGATTCAAACCAATCCAAACTTGCTTGGTTCAAAATGGGTTGGATCAAAATGAGTTAGGAAATTGGTTACATTATGGGTCAAGACTCAACCCAATCCAATTTTTATTAAGCTTAATTGTTTTATTTGTTCTTTTAAACTATTTAGTACTTAATAAAATAATTTTTTTTCTTTATTGTCAAATTGAACAAAAAAAGGTTTTCTATATTGAAAAAAAGTTTTTTTAAAAAAATAATATTTTGACAAGATTTTTCATGAGTCAATTCGGGTTACATATAAACTCAATGTTTAATGGGTTGAAATGGATAAGCTAATGAATAAATAGATCAATAATCCGCCCAAACTTAAACGAACCGAACGAATTGCCATCCCTAATTACATATATACTTATTATCTCAACAATTATTACCACACAAATTTTATAGTTCCATTTTATATGGCATCACTTCCATTATAGTTGGTCCTATAGTGAATGTACCTTATTATAATTATAAATAATTTAATTTCAGATTATTTTTTTATCCTTAATGTCATACTAGTGAAGCTAAAAATTTTGTTAAGCAAATTCAAAATTTAATATATATAATATATTGACGAAGAATATCCAATTGACCATCGTGAGTTGTACATCACTACTTGATAAAATGATTTACGATGACATTATTTAAATACCCTTTTAAATTACAAGTTTCAAATTTCTTTTTCTTATATATCATATCGAACTAAATGATGTCACCTAAAATGAGACGGATGAACCAAATATAAGAAAATATTTTGGGGGTTAAGCTGAGGCAATAATTAGCAGGGAGAAAGAGGTTGCACATTCCCATGTAGTAAGTTTTGTTAAAGGAAGAGCAGACCCCACACTTGCATTTATTGGTCAAGTGGAACTCTGCAAAGAAAGTGACTTTGTAGTTCGTAAAAGAACGGTAGAACATGTTAGTGTGTCAATTTGGCCATCATCTATCTACCCTAGAGGCTAGAAGTAAGTCATGTATATGACTAGGTTTTATTCTACTTTTTTCCTATATCAATTCTATATAAAAACAAAATTTATGAAATACAATTTTAATTATAATTCTCTTAAATGATATATTACGTTAATAATGGTCAAATAATATAAAATAAAGAAAATACTCCCTATGTTTCAAAAATAATGACTTCCTTTAATTTTTAGTCTGTTTCAAAAAAAATGTCCTCTTTCCTTTTTTCGTAACATTTTAATTTCAGTTTTTCACGTGACATGTTTAAAGCTACAAAATTAAAAGATAATTTAATATATTTGATATAACTTTAATTTAGTATCACAAGATTTAAAAATCTTTTTTATTTTATAAAACTTCATGTCATGTCAAATCAATTCACTATTTTTGAAACAGAGGGAGTAATTTATAATGTAGAATGTATTCAAGACATCATTTGACACCTGATTAAAATTATACATATAACGTTATTAGTTACTTTGTCTTTTAGGACCGTTTGGTTTGAATTCAAGTTATAATGGGATAAATTATGATGAAATTATTTTTTATTGAGTGTTTGATTTGTTATATTCAAAATAATAAATTTTAAGAACAATTTATATGTTTACAAAAATGTCCTTCATGAATTTAAAAATGATGTAACAAAAGGGTTGAAAGAGACGTCATTTTTGTCATTTACTTATTTTATCCCGAGATAAGTTATCCCGCGATTACTATACCACCCAAGGGGATGGATAACTTATCCTGATACTAATTATTAATCTCGAGATAAGTTGTCTCAGACTTGCCAACCAAACAACAAATTAAGTGGTACTATAGTTTAATCTCAAGACTATTTGGTATTATCCTTCACAAAAACGACCCCTTAATCTACAAAAGATAATACATCAATTTTTTTTTATAACTTATACTTGTATTAGCTATGTAAATTTTTAAATTATAAATTAAATTTCGCATTAATTTTATATATTAATATTATACATAAACAACTTATTTTTTAAACTAACTCTCAAATAAAATATAACTAATACAAAAATTAATATATGAATAAATTACTTTTGTACTAGCGATCAAATAACGGGTAAAACTTATCCGCACCAGGTGTATACACCAATCCAATACATCCATACCATGTGTTTATATTTATAGTTCATTTATTTAATCTTTATTAATTAACATGTGTTTTACTTCATTAAATCACATTATAATGGAAATTGCATTAATTCGGTGAAAATTGCTACAAATTAAATAATAATAAGGAATCATTTGGTTGGTGGATAAGTAAAAATATCGCATAAATTATGATATTTTTTTTTCATTACTTATATGACATAACTTGTTTTAGTCCAATTTTTTGTTTTCTCATGTTCGATATTTACATTAAAGTTAAATTATTCTAAGCTCATATTGTATAGAGCTCCATTTGAAAGGAAACAATTTCTACCAAGAATTTTTTTCCTATCATAGCTCGAACCCAAAAATTTATGATAAAAAAAGAAATAGCTCCATTCTCTACACCGAATATTTAACAAATATTTTGAAGCGAAAGATATGATGAGCTAGCTACCTACCTTAGATAGATAGTCATAGTAATAATAGCCTTTCATTTCATCAATATCACATCACTCCCACCCACTCTTCCTCTCTCTATCTATCAAAAAAAATACAGTAACTGTATGTTCTTCTTCTCTTTCCCCTAATGGCTGCAGAAGGATTTGAAGCATATCATGTCCCACAACAAAGCAGAAGAGATAAGCTTAGAGGTGATACTAATACTAATACTAATTCTAATACAAGTACTAATTTCCTCCCTAATTTTTACAATAACAATCCATCATTTCTCCTTAATCCTTGTGATAATTTCCTTCTAATTAAATCCATGGATCCACAAATATCTTCTTCTTTTCATCAAATTAACAATAACCCTTTCCTCTACAACACAAATCAAAATCATGATATTGATGTTGTATCATCATCAACTTATCATAATAATAGTAAGAATAGTATAACTACTTATGTTACTCCAGGTCAAGGTTTGTCTTTATCTTTATCATCTCATAATCATCATCAGCGGAACAGTACTACTACTAGTAATAATAGTACTGTTCCGCTGGAGCTGAACTTACAGAGATATGACTCATCATTATTTACAACTGTACCGGCCGCGGCTACCGCTGCCGATTGTTGTAATAATGAGTTTTTGTCATCCAAGAGCGGTGGTAGTACTATTATTGGACCTTTTACTGGATATGCTTCAATTCTCAAGGGGTCAAGATTCTTAAAACCTGCACAACAGTTGTTGGAAGATATTTGTGGGATTTATGCTCAGAAATTATTAGAAGATGATGATTCTATTGGAATTATGGATGATTCTTCAATAGATGCATCTAATGATGATGGAAGTGAGCACAGGAGGAACAATTCCAAGTTAATTTCAATGCTTGATGAGGTATTTTTTTATATTTTAATGTATAGTATTTTTACAATTATTTGTGTGGTTATACCTATATATAGTGATTACAATTTTAAACTATGAGATTTGATATATCAAATTTTCGATATAAGATTTCGTGGTTATTTCAAATGAGTAATTTTACAAATTGGTCCATTATTCTAGAAATAAAATAAATTGATTGTTTTTTCTTAGGAGTGAAAATAGCCCGACTGAATTCGGATTCGCAGGAAAAATTCACATTAGGGATAAAGTCTTTCGTAGCAAAGGCAGTTTCATATCGACACTTGACTTCAAAACCACTGCACCATATATCTTGGTTTATACCTTTCAATTTTAACCTATTTTTTTTCCCAACGCAGCTCAAGTCATGTCTAATTTTGTGCCTTATTATTTATTCCTATAATTAGAAATTAAACTCTTACCATTAGGGCTCGTTTGGTGTGAGGGATTAGAAATAATAGTGATGGGATAAGGAAATAGTGATGGGATAAAAAAAAAATTATGTTGTTTGGTTGGCAAGTCCGGGATAACTTATCCCGGGATTAATAATTAGTACCGGGATAAGTTATCCCTCCCCATGGGTGGTATAGTAATCCCGGGATAACTTATTCCGAGATAGAATAGGTAAATGACAAATATGTCCCTTTAAATCCTTTTTATATATCATTTTTTACATTTATGTATATTTACATTTTTTTTAATACCATGTATAATAATATTTACTACTCCTTATTTTTATGATAATTATACATATTTTTCTATTAAAAAATTATACTATATAAATATAATTTTTATTTATGAATTTATTTGACTAATTCTTATGTTTATTTTATTTTGATTTCTCATAAATTTTCTTCTCTTTAATAAACTTAAGAGGAAAGTTCTATTTTTAAGCTAAATAAGAAAAAAGTTATATTTTTAAATACACATGGTACTTATCATGGGAATACATAAACAAAAATATTTAAGTTAAAAAAAATAAAAGTTTTATTTTAAAAAATGAATAACTAAAGCTCACAAAGAAAAATTTAAAAAGTTTAAATAAAGTGAAGGGTAATTTTGTAAACAAACAACTTGTTCTTAAAATTTATCAATATATATTATTTTGAATATAACAAACCAAACACTCAATAAGAAATAATCCCAGGACAACTTATCCCATCATAACTAATCCCAACATAACTTATCCCAACATAACTTATCCCATCATAACTCATATTCAAACCAAACGACCCCTTATTGTATATACATGCCATGAAATTTTGTTTAATTTCTTTGGATTTGTGATTTCTTTCACTATATATAACGAAAATTCATTTTTTTAGGGCTTAGAATTATAGTTCAGTATCCAATTTATATATGCTCTTGGCATACAGTATAAATTAAATTCTTTTGAGTCAAATTGGTTGTATTATTAGGTTACAAGATGCCTATGCTTTTTAGTCAATAGAAGTTCGATCACTAAATCATCTTTTTGAAAAGAAAAAAAAGGTGATTGATAGAGAGAATATATGCACGAAGATTGGTGTCTTTTAAGGGTCGTTTGGTTGGTCGTATACGAATAATGTTGAATATAATACATGTTGAATATAGTGTATTAGTAATGCTGAGATTATTTATTAGGTACTGTTTGATTTTTTATATAAAAATTAACATGAATTATATATTTCTAAACAGTGTATTTGTCAGATATAAAAACGTACACATTTGGAGGAAAATTGTGTAAAACCCTTGCATTATATAGGTTAAGAAATTGTACCTAACAATGTATTTGTTATATAGAAGTTACTTCGTGCATTATTTTTTTTATTACCTCTTATCAAACGGCCCCAAAATGGATGAAGAGATTAAGGGAAAATCTATAAGAAGAAATATTTATCACAAGGACAAATAATACCCTAGCTCTTTCCTCTTATTTTTTCTTTTTTAAATTCATTTAAAAAACTAAACAAAATTCTATTTCTCTTACTCCTAAGTACTCTTCCTTTTAATCTCAATTCCAAATACCTTTATTTTAAAAATTAATTTTGACTTCACTCAATTATTATCCAAAGTAGTACTTAGGTTAGTTAACTCTCATGTAGGCCTTGTAGCTAATGAGTCAGTAATGTTTAGGCAGCACAGATTCCAAAACTAACCTTCTAATTGGGAGGAACTATTGCCTACACGATCACCTAATAAGGGTAGGCACTTGAGGCCAAAAGAGGTATTTCTTATTTCATAATTGTTTTAATTTGTTCTTATTGAGCTGAGGATTTTTTTTAATTCAATGAGGTAGCGCTAAGGTTTGTGTATACTTCATCTTCTTTAGACTCTGTTTATGAAAATATACTAGGTATGTTATTGTTTACCATTGAACAACCTGTAGGATTAAATTACCGTTTTTTTATTTATCTCAAGGGTTTAAGAATAGTGTGTTACATAGATTGCGACAGATAGCGTAACTCATTAATTAATTCTTATATCACACATGTAAGATCACAAGATTCAAATGACATTTTAGTACATTAACTAAACACATTTTTAGCTTAAGTGTGTATGATAAGAAAGTTGTGAAACGGAGAGCATATATTTATGATGTTAAGGAAATTTCTCATTGCATATTCTTGACAAACTTATAATTTAGGGATGATACACTTCATTTCAGGTATATAGAAGATATAAACAATATTATCAACAGCTACAAGGAGTAGTGGCATCATTTGAATCAGTTCCTGGACTTGGAAATGCAGCCCCATTTGCAAACCTATCTTTAAAAGCATTGTCCAAACATTTTAGGTGCCTAAAAAATGCCATTTGTGACCAAATGAACTACACAATTAAATCTCAAACTCATAGTCATAATAGTCAAATAAATTGTGATGATTCTACAAGTACAAGATCTGTTGGGAAAGGCAACTTTAATTATAATAATTTTCAAAGAACAGGATTTGTTGAACACCATCAGCCTGTTTGGAGACCACAAAGAGGCCTACCGGAGCGCGCTGTAACTGTTCTTAGGGCTTGGTTATTTGACCATTTCTTGCACCCGTAAGTACTACTACTACTTCATCATGTGTTTAATTTCGTTTAAGAATGAGTGAAGATTTTGAAATTTGTGAGAAAGCATGTGTACTAGTTGTATGACTATAATTTTTTTTTTTTTTGATTTTAAACATGTCATAACGTTTGTGTTGTAATGATAGCTTCTCATTAAAGAGTAAATTGAAAAAAGTAGATTTTTTTTTTTAACCATATGTATGTGTTACTTAATTCTTGGAATCTGTAACCCTAGATTATGTTTAATTTATTTGATTTGTGATTTGGGATGAACTTTAATCAATTTATTTATGTAAAATTTAACTCATTAGTATTGATGTTGTTGCAGTTATCCCACAGATTCTGATAAAGTAATGTTGGCCAAACAGACTGGTCTTTCAAGGAATCAGGTCTGCACATTTTCCAAATCGACTCATCTCTTTGATCCATTTCAATCTATATATGTCAATCCATTTCTTTTTTGGTTCATCTAAATAAATGTTTTGCACTGCTTTCCTTATTAGTTGTCATGTTTTTTTCACTTTCGTTTTTCATGTTCATGACTATGTTGATAGTTGCATTTGATTGATGGTCCTTCAGAGTCTGTCTCTCTACCTCCATGAGATAGGCATAAGGTCTACGTACACTTCACCCTTTCCAGACCCTACTTGTGGGATTCCCCACAGAAAATGACCCCTTCTTTACTTTTAAAACAATTTAATTTTTAACTTTTCATTTTACCCGCGATGAGATACATCACATCCTTAATTCTCATACAAATATTTATTGCTCGTCTTACATCATAATTTTTTTTTAAAGATTCTTTCTTTGTTAAACTTTGTGTCCAGTCAAACAAGTCTTTTTGAACATAATGTATATACATTATCTAATTCGATATTGTATTTCAGGTTTCTAATTGGTTCATCAATGCAAGAGTTAGACTATGGAAGCCTATGGTTGAAGAAATACACATGCTTGAAACTAGGCAAGCTAACAAATCTTCTTCACAAAGGATGCAAGGTCAAAACAACAATCCCATTGAAGTACATTTTCCCACAAGTAATAATTCACTTCCATCTACATCATCAGCACAACAAGTTCCATCAAAGAGAACACGAAATAACAATCCAGAAGATGAAATGAATTTATCATATTCTCGTGTTGGAATTGATCAAGTGATGAGTGCATCATCAGGTGGAAATGGTGGTGGGGTGTCATTAACATTGGGACTTCATCATCAAAACAATAATATTGGAATTGGGGGTTTATCATCAGAGTCTTTCCCCAGAAATGCAGCACGACGTTTTGGTATCGATGCAAATAACGAGGGATTCATGTTTGGTGATGGATTTGAACCACAAAATCATCAGTTAGGAAGAGATCATAATAATAATAATAGTATTATCGGAGGCCAATTGTTGCATGATTTTGTTGGTTGAATATTACTAGTTTTTATGCATTTTGTAGCCTTGCATCAAGGATTTAAATATATAATATTGATCGTGAATTCAATTTGTATATTACATCAAGTTTATTTTCATATGTCAAATAATTCAAACAAATTTTGTTGATTGGATTCGATAAGAACTCTGAATGAGTAGAAATTTGAATCAAGTTGAAATAAGCCTATATATCCAAAAATGATTTTTATGGTATATATTTTAATACATAGTTTCAAAGTCTCTCCTTTTTTTTAAACATCGTGTATCATCAAAAAATACCACATAAAAGAGCTGAAGATTTACTTTTATTACATAATGCCTTAAAAGGCCTATACATGTAAATTACGACAAAGATCGTTTAGCTACTCAAGTAAAATCTCTATATAACACTTAAGTTCTTTAAACATGACATCTAGCTATTCAAGTGATGATTTATGTTTTATTTCATGACTATGATGCCTATTTATGTGCTCACATATACAAGTGTGACTATACTATGAGTATTTGTTTTCATTTATATAAAGAGAGGTAAGTGTTAAAAACACTTCTAAGATATTCTTTTTTATTTTTTTAGTTTCATATCTAAATTATTGGGAGTGTGAATCATACTGAAAATATTACTTATTTGTTTGAGAAACACATTTTAAAGGTGTATGTAATGCATTCTCTCTTTATTTGTAAAGATCTTGTCACATGTCATTTCATATGGATAAAATATTCTACTTTGATAAAAATTAAATAAATTATTAATATTAGTTAAAAACTAAAGACTAAAATATTACTATCCCATTTTTTTTTAAATAATTATTTTTTAAAAAATATAAAATTTAGAATATTTTTCTCACCCCACTCCACCATCTCCTACCCCCCTCCGACAATCCCCGTCCTTTTAACTTTTTCAATTTTTGCATAAAATACTTTTTAATAATTTAGACCTCAGTCCCTCCCCCACTGCTTCCTAAACTTCTTTTGATATTATTTAAAAAAATCTAACCCCCCGCTCCTACTTTATTTTTTTTTTACATTTTTCTCTTTTTTGTTTATATATATTTTTAGGAAAATATTTCTTTCTACTTACGTACCGAATATAACAAAAATAAAATTTTTATTTTAAAAAAAGTCTTATGGTAAGTAAAAAAAATACTTTTCTAATATATATATATTATTAATACAAAACGAGAAAAAAAATAGAAGCGGTAAATGTGGGGTGGGGTAAATTTTTTTTAATTTAAAAAAATAAAATAATATCTCATTTATTATTTGAAGGATGGAGGGGGGGGGGGATGAGGTAAGAATTTTCTTAAAATTGTTATCAAAGATTTTTTTTTTTAAAAAAAAAACTAAAAAATTGGGGCGGGGGAGTACGGTGGGAGGAAGTGGTGGCGTGGGAAGAAATATTTTACATTTTATTTTATAATTTTTTTTGCGGGAAATAATAATACTTTAATCTTTAACTTTAACTAATACCAATAATTTATTTACTTTTTGTCAATGTGGAATAATATTTTGTCCACTTAGAGTGTGATGTGACAATTTTTTAAAAAATAAAAGAGAGAGTTATTACACACCATGATAAAAGTATAATTAAAAAGAGATGTGTATTTCTCAAACTAAGTGATAGTTTAGAAAAGAATCCTACAAACCAATCCTCTAACACTTCCCTTTGGATTTGGAAACTTTAGACTCTTAATAAAATAAAGTTCTTTATGTGGTTACTTCTCCGAAATAAGCATCCTACACTTTCTACCCTCTACAATAGGGGCATCACCAGCCAAAAAAATTGCACCAATTGTTCCTAAATGTTGATGGATCCTTTGAGCCTAAAACAATTAATGGTGGCACTGAAGGAATAATAAGAAACCACTTAGGAAATTGGATAGCGGGGTTTGCTTGTAAGATCAAAGTGGAAAATGCTTACCATGCTTAATTGTTAGCCCTGTTGCACGGGTTGACTCTTGCAAAAGAAAAAAACTTTAAGCACATGATTCTGGTGGAAACAGACTCACAGATAGGGGTGTTCACGGTTTGGATAAAAACCAATTCAAATTGAAAAACCAAACCAAACCGATAAAATAAAATCGATTTTATTTGGGTTTGGTTTGGTTTTAGATTTTTGAAAACCGAGAGTATTTGATTTGGTTATGATTTTATTCGAAAAAACCCGAAGAAATAACCGAACCGAACCGATGAATTATATACATATATTTTATTAATATACATACTTAATATATTATTTTTATAAACAATTTTAAAGATTTTATACATATTTTCATTAAAATTTCTTTATAATTTACTTATTGAAAGCAAAAATGCCCAAGATGAAACATTTATCTTATTTATTTCATGTATATGAGTGTCTATGTCAATTCTTTGTGGGACTGAAAATGTTATTGTCTCTTCCTTCTAGGCCAATATAATGAATTTTAAAGCTTTATTGATAGTAAATTTAGTGATTGAAAGTTTAGTAATTTAAGTCATTCTAACTATTTCTCGTTTTGAATGGATTGTTGTCACTTTTTTCACATTTTAAATGAATTGTTTCTTTTATTTTGGTGTATGGTTAATAACCGAATAACCGAACCAAACCAAACCGAAACCGATAATCACCAAACCGATAAATGTATATTATATTTGGTTTGGTTTGGTTTTGATAATTTTAAAACCGATTAAGTTGATTTGGTTTTGATTTTGACCAATAACCGATCCAAACCAACCCGTGAACACCCCTACTCACAAGTATTGCTAAACTCTTTAAATAATGATAACCCTCAATGCTCACACATTTGCACTGATTGCATGTCCTTGCTCCAGCAATTGGGAGCACCGCCACTAAAGCATGTTCCACCGGAGGCTCATAGGACTGCTGATGCACTAGCAGAATACGGAGGACCAAATTATGATTAGAAACAAACTATATATTTTTGAAGCATCTCCATCTTGTATTACGTATGAACTTGATAGAAATGGAACTACCTCACTTAGATCAATTCCCTTTTATATGGATGTTCCTTAATATTAAATAAAATCCTTCCGTTTTAAGCAAAAAAAATATATGATAGTTTAGAGATGAAACTAAAAAAAAGAAAGATAGTTTAGATATGTTTTTGACCCTTATATCTCATGAATATATATATATATATATGACTTCTGAGAATTTCAAGCAAAAGTGCTAATTAGGTCATGCGAAACATTATGGAAAACTCAACTCGATGGAGTAATATAGATACTTATAAGATTTAGCAAGTAGGCATGTATAAGACACGTAGTTGTCAAAAATTCTATGTTTATATAAGCTATGTTGACCCTTTTTGAGGATAATATGCGGGATCGTGTTCGTAAAAGAGGTTTTAGCTTCATATGCTTTTCTTATTTTTAGTTTATATCAAATTAGTACAATTTATTATAATTAAGTAATTTATTAAAAATTCTGTATTAATTAATCATGATTAAATTAAAGAACTCTATATTCAAACACATATCAAGCATATGGTTGACTTGAGATAAACACATCAAGTGAAGTTATAATCTTGTTCTTAATTTACATTTTTAATTCAAGCTCTTGTTTTTCTTTTCTTTTTTGTGTGAAAATACTTTTTTCCTTTTTCTTAGTTCTAGCGGTTGTGACAAATATAATCTTTTGACTATAGTTATATTTTTTGTTTTCTGTGGGTAGATTGTTTCCTTATTTATTTGATAACGTATTATTTAAAGCATGTGATATCTTTTAGTAATTCAGTCTGGGTGGTGTAGTCGGTTATCACGCTAGTCTCACACACTAGAGGTCCCCGGTTCGAACCCGGGCTCAGACATTTTTATTATATTATAATTTTTTATAAGCTGGATTACGTTATTATTGTTATCTGAGAGAAATATTGAAAACACCTCTAAACTCAACATGAATTATTAGTTTCATCCCCGAACTAGTGACAGCCTCTAAACTCAGCGTGAATTATTAGATTCATCCCCGAACTGGTGACAGCCTTAAAAACACTACATAATTTACTTGACTAATTGAACTTAAATACATCCCCGATCTTGCAATATGGGTGAATTACACCCCTAAATTCTCGCCAACTTTAAAAGTGTTTTCAATACTTGTCTCGATTTTTTATTAAGAGTCGCATGCTCCTATAAGAGTTTGAAACCACTTCCTACATCGTGTGGTAGATTGGGGTGTGCCTAAGTTTAGTTAGTCAAGTAAAAAAATACTTTTAAGACTGTCAATATTTCGAGGATGAAACTAATAATTTCTATCAAGTTAAAAATGTTTTCAATACTTCTCTTGTCTGTTCAACACATTACAGTACCCCTTCCAGAATGAAATCACCTTCAAAAGTTCAATCAAGTGAATTTTTTTTGCTCTTTAAAGTATATAACTCCATAAAGTAATTAGTACAATTATTTTATATATAATGCAATCGAATTATATGATACAAAGTGGGCACTTTTCTTGCAAGCATATATTCATATTATTATATAAATATGATTCGAATAGAGGAAAAGTAGTGATTTAAATGTGGGACAAATAAATTAGCAATTTATAAAAATAAAAGTTGCATGGAAAAAAGAAAATATTCCTGACCAAGGGGGATTATTAATAAAAGAGAGGAATGATCATATTGTTAGTATCATATTCTTTTTTCATGTAGCCAATGGCTATACGTCGGAAAGTCTAAATTGTGATATTATAATTTGCACTTATGTGTTTCTCTCTTCAAACAACGCGATTAAGCTATTTTTTTATTTTTATTTTTGAGTTATTGGATCTTGTTGAAGGCATTTTATAGTATTATATCATTTTGTTTTAATTTCTCGGTTGCATGGTAGTTCATTACTTTCATATAGTATTAGTACAAATTAAATATAACTAGAAATGCACATGCAAACTTAAAAAATAATTTTCATACAAACTCAAAATATAACTAGCGCAAATCTTATCCAAACAACCCCCTCGACGCACAAAATTTCATAGTTAAACAATAAATATCTCATGATAA